CTGGCAGATTTTTAGGAGTGATTTTAGTTGTTTAACATATCTAAAAATATCTTATTTAGTGCATTATAATTATAAATGTATCATTGTATAAATAATTTTTTTTTAAAAATACATCTAGATATAGACATAAACTGTAGTCATTTTTGGTAAATAACATACTTATAGCTATTGAACTTCAATAACCCTACAACTATAGTCATTTTTGTAAGTTACTCTTTTTTTTTTTACCATTAACTCTAAAAGTTTGTATATCCCTCCAATTTTAGGCTAAATATATTTTTTTCCCCTCCCATCTTAAGATTTGATTATTGATAAGTGATCTTAGAAATATAACTGTCCTTAGATTATTGATAGGTGATCTTAGAAATACAATAATAACTACTTAATTTTATTGGCAAATTTTATTTAGATATTTAAGCTATAATTAGTGTTCTAATTAATCAACTGAACACATGATAAAGCATTCTTATTATATATTTTTAATTTTTTCTGTGTGTATTCTCAAGTATTCATTACGTATAGATTAATATGATCTCTTTTACTTATATGTATTAACCTTAACAACCTGTAAAATCTAAGGTGTGTTACAATTATGGCTGATGTTTATAATTAAAGAGATGACATAATATGTGATTAACTTAATTATCTAATAGACGTTTGAGAATACGCGCAAAAAAATAATCAAAATTTGTATCAAAAGTGTCTAGTAAGAACACTTTATCACATGCTCAAGTGCTCAATTGAAATAAATCGTAATTTAAATATTTAAATGGAATTTGCTGATAAGTTTAAGAAATTTAGCTATTTTTCTAGACTAATATAAATAGTTTTTTAAGTCTTTGTATTAGAGTTTACTAACTTTGAAGATAGAGAAAGACTCTTTGTGTGAATTTATTTCCCTTCATTTGTATTTCTTAACTATATCATTGTTATCTTATCTTGCTTGTTTGATTGCGGTTTAATTTATTGTTATTGTATCTTGAACTATATCACATTTTTTAATTATACACATTAACTTTAATTGTATATGTTTGAGATTTTACGATTTATTGAAACTAAAACATATAATTAAAGATGAAGACATATTTTAATTGATTAACTTATTTACGTAATGGACACTTGAATACACATTGAAAGATTTTTTTTTCAAAATTTAACTAAAAAATGTGCCTAATAGAAGTGTTTTATCATATGTTCACGCACTTAATTGGAACAAGATATAATTTAAGTATCTAAATGAAATTTACTCACAAATTTTAAGAGATTAAACATGTATTAAGCTAATTTAATTCATAGTATTAATTTATTCCTTTATTCATTTACTTATTAAAGGAATATAGATGACACTTTTAACCAGTGTTTTAAAAGGTGGGGACGTGAAGCGAGGCATTTTATACAGTATGGGGGGAGGCGTAAGCCCCGAGACACGGGGCGTAAGTCTCATGGATCTACGGGGCGCAATCTCATGTATATTCAATTTTATAGATCTATGTCTTTAATTTACGCCCCGGAGTGTTTTTGGTACCCCCCTCCCCCCGAGACTCGCCCTGGGACTCGCCCCAAGAACGTTTTTGAAAACACTACTTTTAACTTTATGATATTTTACTTTATACATTTTTGTATTATTTGGTAGAACTCCTAAAATTTATTTCAATATTTATTTAAGGGTGACTTGTATAAATTTCAGTAGTTTAGGAGTTAATTACTTAGATATACGCTAGTTTGCAATATGACGAATCTTACCAAAATTTGGTGTGTCAAGATACATGTAACTCAATATACATTGGGTCAAAATTAGGTACAATTTATTATAGATATATTGTATCCAAGTGGATTCACATGTATCTAAGATACATAGATAAATCTACCTCGCCTTCCTCCTATCTCGCTCGTCACTCTCATATCTCCCTTGCGTATCTGGTATCACATATACATGTGAATCACACTATCTAGATACTTGCATATAGTGTGTGTCTAGTATGATTCACATGTATGTGGAATACATATATAAATATTGCTCGATGGCTCGCCTCCCTCACCTTCCTCACATCTTGCTCGCTACTCTCATATCTTGCTCGCATATCTAGTGTTCCAGATATATGTGAATCACACCGAATACATGTATATATTGTGTTTCTAGTGTGTTCACATGTATCTGACTTGAAATCTTATATGAAATTATTAAATAGTGAGATAAAATATAATTATTTTAAACTATAAATTTTTTTATTAAATATGATAGGAATGTTTCTGTAATTAGGTAGTTTCTCTTTTATTTAACTTTAATTTTTTATGATTTTAATTTTTTTTTACAGTTATATTGTTTTCTGATAAATAAAAAATACATAACTTAAAAATCCATAAGGTTTACGTTTCATGCTTCGAACTTCGAAGCTTACACCTTATCCATACCTATATAAAACGTTTTGCCTTATCTTATGCTTTCATATTTTAAAACAATATGATATATATATATATAACTTAGGCTATACAAATTAAAAAGTATCATAATATTTTGGAAAACTACATAAATAGACATACTTCACTACCATATATACTATTATTATCTATATATACTTTTAAAATATTATGTATCTTACCACTAATTAAAAGTTTTCTACGTATCTTATACTTAGATACATGCAATTTGTGCTATCAGATACACAAAAATAGGGAGGGAGGCGAGTGAGATTGAGGAGGGAGGCGAGGGAGATTCATATGTATTCTAGATACATGCAAATCACACCAGATACACACTAGATACATGTATCTGTATATATCTGGAGTGATTCACATATATTTGGGATTCCATATACATGGGAGAGTGACGAGCGAGAGGGGAGAGAGGCGAGTGAGATTTGTTATGTTTCCCATATACAGGCGAATCCACTTGAATACAATGTATCTAGAACAAATTATTTTATACCTAATTTCTAAATTTGACCCGTATATCCGAGATACATGTATCTGGAGGTACCAAAATCTGATAAGATACGTAATATTACAAACTAGAGTGTATCGAAATAATTAGCTCCTAAACTAGTGAAATTTATGCAAGTTTCCCTATTATTTTTTAAAGAAAAACTAGAAAAAAAAGAAGAAAACAGGTAGATATATAATCTATAGGGATTACATAGATAACCATTGCAGAATATATTAAGATAAAAAGAGTAGATGTTTCTCTATTATACATAACATATTATTAAATTAGAAAAAAAATTGAGTCTGAGTTTATGGCAGGATTTTCTTGCATCTCTTCTTAATTATATTATTGAAACATATCTAAGGTTTTATGGTTTACTGAGGCTAACAAAAGATGATGATATATTTTAATTGGTTAATTTATTTACCTAATGAATACTTAAGAATATGCTAGAAGTTTTTTCAAGATTTGAATTGAAAGCATTTAATAGTATCTAATCGTGTGTTCTGATGCCCAATTAGAACAAACTCTCGATCAAATATTTATGTGAAGTTTATTGACAAGTTTAAGAAATTATTTACGCGTTAAGCCGATTTAATTTACGGTATTAATATATTCCTTTAGTCATTTACTTATATGAGGTATAGATAACACTTTTTCCTAAGGTGATTTTTTTTCCTTAAAAAAATAATGTTTGGGTTGTTTGGATATCTGTAGCAAGGGTTTATTATGATACTTTATTTTATATATATTTTTTGTATTACTTTGTCGAATTTCTAGTATTTATCTCAGTATATTTTTTAACATTTAAATTGTATTATTTCAATGTTTTTAATTGTTATATTTTTTTTCCGAATATATTAAAATTAGAATAATTTTTAAATCTATAGAATTTATGTTCCATGCTCTAAAGCTCACGCATCGTCCAAATTACATAAAACGTATCGTCTCACCTTACACCTTAATTCACCTTGTTAAAAGATTGCAGTATATTTAACCTAATTAAAAAAACTATAACAAAAAAACCATTAATAATAAAAAAATCAACAAAAAGACAGGTAGATATATACTCTATAAAGATTATATATATATATATATATATATATGGGAGGGAAAAACATAATATTGGAGGGAAAAATGATTTTAAATGAGAAAAAAAAATACAGAAAAACATTATTTTTCAGAAATTATCGATGTTTGTCCTTGTGTGGGATAATTATACAGAGAGGAGATATATATTCTTGTTGGCATCAGTCCTACAGAATTTGGACTCTTAGGAGATTTTTTAAAAAAAGTATTTAACTAATATATAATAGTATAATAAAAGAATTTAAAATTTTAAATCAGTAGTTTCACTTTTTATTTTTATTCATAGTGATTAATTTGTAGTTGCCATTTATCCGACCTAATAGTATAATTTTCTTTTAAAAATATACATTAATATGTATAAGTAATTAAACAAGAATATGGTGATCAGTCAAATACCCTTTATCGAAAAATTGTACTATTTATATAGAAATTATACAAAGTTTAAAGATCAAAAAATATTTTTATTAAATCTTGAATACAATTAACGAAATTTCTCTTGTCACTCACTCACTCTCAAGTTCGAGCCTTAAATATAGGAAAAAATCTCGATAATGAATCGTTTCCCCTTTAATCTGTATAACGAGTCCTATATAGTGTAAATCTGAATTAGTCGTGCGTCCCATTATTAGTACCGGACACCAAGTAGGAAACCAAATAAAAAGGTTTTGTGTTAAGGATATATATATTCTTCTTTTATACGTCTTACAAAGTAGCTAATTTTCCGAGCTTGAATTTTGGGATGTATATTTTCTATAAATGAAATTTCTTTTTTCTTTCCATATTACTCAACTTTTTAATTTAATTTTTTTATTAATATATTTTTTTTAATTCTATAATCCTACTCACTTACCATATTTTTTATGTCTCTTATACTCCCTTACTAACCTTTTTGTCTTCCCTTTTTCCTCTAGGGTTTCATTGCTTTCCTCTCGTTTAAGGATTTTCTTGATTTTAGCTCTTGCTTTCTTGATTTCTCAACTCCACACAAATGGAAGCTGAAGATGATCAAGAAAATAATGGATCTTGTGAAAAAGGTTTATCTTCAAGTAACTTTAAGGTGAAGATAAATCTTAAGCTCAAGAAAAACAAAGATGAAAGTTGCGGAGATGAGGATGTTCGTGAAGAGAAAAACTTGTTGTTGATGAAGCAAAAGAAAGATCATATATGTTGTGAGTGTGGAAAAGAGTTTAGCTCAGGAAAAGCTTTAGGTGGACATATGAGTAGTGCACATGTTCAAGCAAATCAAAGATTAGAAGAATCTTGGAAGAAGAAAAAAATTTCGATAAAAAGATCAAGATTTGATGATTATGATGATGATGAAGAAGTTGTTCTCGAAGAAGAAGAAGAGATAGGAGATGTGGTAGTAAGTTGTGAAATTTGTCATAAGAATTTTCCATCTAAGAAATCTTTATTTGGACATATGAGATGTCATCCTGATAGAGAATGGAGAGGTATGAAACCCCCTAGTAAAAAAATATCGAAAAATAAGGGTTTTCGAGCTACTTTTGAGGATGTGAATGAGGGTTTTGAGGATTGTTTTGCTAGTCTTCGAGATGAAGAAGAAGAAGAAGGAGGAGGAATTCATTTTAATGTGGTTGAACTACCTCCTTTGAAGGATTGGGGTGCGAAGGATAGACGAGGGAGATCCCCTCTCAAGAGGAGTGTAAGTAGTACTATAATGGATGATGATAAGGAGCTACATGACGCGGTTCAACAGCTTATAAGTTTAGTCAATGGAGACGTGAACAATAACAACAACAACAATAATAGGTCAGAGGTCATGATGAGTAGTAGCAATTCAGTTGGTAGTGCTCCTAAAGAAGCTGCTTTTCGCGATTTGAAGGATAAATCTAAGAAAAAGGGGGTTGTTGATGGTACTAAAGAAAAGAATCGCGAAGAAACCAAGAAGAGGAAGAGGGAGAAAGAGCTAGTCAAATTGGAACCGGGCCAGGATTTGGTCCACAGCCCAGTTCTCAAGAAATCAGTGGAGGTCAAATACAAATGTAATGAGTGTGGGAGGATGTTTGCGACTCATCAAGCACTAGGTGGTCACAGATCGAGTCATAACAAGTTCAAGATCAGTATTGAAAACACGATCGATGGAATTAAGGGTAATAATACTCAAGATCATGGTCAATTGGGAAATCAAGAAATCAATAATTATGGCAACATTATTATTAATGATCAATATGGATCTAATAATAATATTAATAATAATGTTCATAAGTGCAAATTTTGTGACAAGATTTTTCCTACTGGACAAGCACTTGGAGGTCATCAAAGGAGCCATTTGACAAATAATCAAGAAGAATCATCAAGTCAAAATGCAAGTAAAGTTCTTGATTTTGATCTTAATGAATTGCCTCATTTAGATGATGATACATTATTGTAATAGATAATAATAATAATAATAATCCAAAGTATGATCAAATTAGGTTTTCTGTTTGGGAATTTTATTATATGGTTTTATTGAATCTTTAGGATGTTTACTTTTCCTTAGGATTTTCTCATTGATATATGTTATATGTAATTTCCTTTAATCATATATAGTAGTTGATTTCTTTTGATTTTCTTTCTATCTTTTTAGTTCCTTATATTAAGTCTGTTAAAACGTTTTGAATTGGAAATTTGTATAAATAGGATAATTTAAGGTTGTTATTCAAATTTTGTCTTTGTTCAAGGAATTTGCGCAAAAATATTCTTGCTAGTTGAGAAAGAAAGAAAAAACTATGGTTTAACAAGTCTGGTAATTGGATGAGCATAAATTTATTGTTTAGTAAAATGTTTCATTTTATTGTTGATTTTAGTATAATGTTTCATTTTATCTATGTTGTTTTGTTTGTTTCCATAAGCACTTTCGTTGGATTGACAAAACTTGCCTCGTTCATCAGTTATGTCACACAGGTCGTATTTTTAATATAATTTTTCATTATACCTATATTGTTAAATTTATTCAGAACTCTTGTTGGATTGACAAAACTTGCATTGTTCACAAGTTATATCGGTTTCAATTCAATCTTTCATTCTACTATACTATTGTACTGTTCCGAAGTCTTGCCATATTTACATAATCACAATTTTATTAGTATATGGTTTTATTGAATCTTTAGGATGTTTACTTTACCTTAGGAATAGTAGAAATTTATTTCTCATTGATATAAGTTTCAAAGTCAGTTATATGTAATTTCCTTTAATCATATATAGTAGTTGATTTCTTTTGATTTTCTTTCTTTTTTTTAGTTCCTTGTATTAATTCTGTTAAAACCAAATCAAGACAAAAAAAATGATTTGAATTGGATGTGGATCATATAACTTTAACGGATTTTTTATCATCTTCATTCTATCAATCTTGTTAAATTGCTCAATTTTATAGAATTGACAAAATTTGCATTGTTCACAAGTTATGTCGACTTCAATACAAATATACAATCCTTCATTCTACTATGGTGTTGAATTGTTCACAAGTCTCACCATATTTACGTACACTTGATCACAAGTTATGTTGACAAGTCATATGATTTTAGTACAATCTTCATTCTACCTATTTTGTTAAATTGTTTACAAGTTTTGCGGCTTGACAATACTAATTGCTTGTATTGTTCAATTATTCACAAGTTCGATAAGACTAAAGAGACTTGGATACTATATATCTTTATCTATGTATATTGTTAATTGTTCACATGTTTCTATTTGGGAATTTTATTATATGGTTCTATTGAATCTTTAGGATGTTCACTTTTCCTAGTAGAAGTTTATTTCTTATTGATATAAGTTTCAAAGGCAATTACATGTAATTTCCTTTAATTAGTTGATTTCTTTCTTTTTTTAGTTCCTTGTATTAAGTCTTTTAAAACTTAATTACAATGACTTTACTTATTTGACCTTATATATTATCCAAGTCAAGAAAAAAAATATGTTTCGAATTGGAAATTTGTATAAATAGTATAATTTAAGGTGGTTATTTAAATTTTGTCTTTGTTCAAGGAATTTGTGCAAAAATATTCTTGCTAGTTGAGAAAGAAAGAAAAAAGTATGCTTTAACAAGTCTGGTTGGATGAGTCATAAATTTATTGTTTGGTATAATGCTTCATTTTATTGATGATTTTAGTAAAATGTTTCATTTTATTTATATTGCTTTTTTTTTTCATAAGTACTTTCGTTGGATTAATAAATCTTGTCTCCTTCACAAGTTATGTTGGCTTCGCTACACTCTATAGGTCATATTAAATTTGACACAATCTTCATTCTATCTACCTATTTTGTTAAATTTCTCAAAAATCTTACATAATTGGCATAAGTTGCATCGTTCAAAAGTTATGTCACATGGGTCATATTTTTAATTTAATTTTTCATTCTACCTATATTGTTAAATTGTTCATAAATTTTATTGGATAGACAAAACTTGCATCGTTCATAGTTATGTCGGTTTCAAATCATTTTTTCATTCTACTATATATACTACTATATTGTTCCGAAGTTTTTGCCATATTTACATAATCACAACTTATGTCGACATGCCATATTGATTTTAGCACAATCTTCATTCTACTAATATTGCTAAATTGTTCATTAATCTTACAAATTTGAGAAAATTTGCCTAATAATTTAGTACAATTTTTCATTTTATCTGTATTGTGAAATTGTTCACAAGTCTTGTTGGATTGTCAAAACTTACATTGTTCACAAATTATGTCGACTTTGTTACAATCCTTCATTCTACTATACTGTTAAATTGTGAAACAAGTATCACCACATTTACACTTGTTCACAAGTTATATGCTTTAGTACAATCTTCATTTTTACCTATCTTGTTAAATTGTTTATAAGTCTTGCGGACTGACAATACTAATTGTTTTATTGTGCAGTTGTTCCTAAGTTTGATCGGACTAAAAAGACTTAAATATTATATATTGTTTTAATTGTTCACAAACTCTACTGGTTAAGTTGTAGCCTTAGTACAATTTTCATTCTATCCTATGTTGTTAAATTGTTCACAAGTCTTATCAGATAACAAAAACTGTTTATTCACAAGTTACACTAATGACCCAATTTGAATTCGCTTTTATTCTATCTATCTTGCTAAATTGTTTATTAATCTTGTTAGATTAACAAAAATGTCTTGTTGCATTGTAACAGACATTCAAGAAGCTTGACAATCCAAATTGATTAAGTCCTTTAATAAAATCTTTCATATTGTATTGTATTGTTTTGAAAAATTGGGCTGAGTTCGATCAGATTGACAAAACTTGGATACTATATATATATATATATATATATATA